GTATTGGGGGTCTCAGACATGGCTCTTAAAGTATGTTCTGCAGTGGAGATAGAATGACTTTTTGCAAATTCGGGCATTGTTTAGACTTAAGAATAATAGTGGGTGCCTTAGTTAGTTTTTGAGTACAAGTGATGAAATTGTACATTCATGATAAGGGCTAAACCAATTTGTCGCCCAAACCATGTAGCTTGTCTACTTATCACCTATTTACCTAATTCTGTGATCTCTATTTCTAGTTTTGTAAAACATAGAATTGTGACAGTCGTATTAGGGTGTAGCCTTTGTTATCCCCAGCACCCCCTAACTCCATAAAAAGGAAGAAACATACCTTATCTATGATTGCTCATTTTCCTTTGAGCTATATTGCACAATCTCTTAGAAAAATGAATTATTGCCGACTAGACAGCTTTTTTGCAAACTCTTGTTATGATCCACCATGTTTATAGAGACCTTGCTCTTAGAATCTACCATGTCTAGAATGCTAGCTTTCCTCTTGCAAAGAGTCGTAATGCACTTGATGTTCAAGAGCAATTCCGTAAGAGGAGAAAATTCATAGTTCCTATTCATTTTGTTAATTTCTTCATCCTTGTGTAGCCTTCAGCTGACTATGATTTTCCATTGCAGAATGAGGATAGAACACTTTGGAAACTTGGGACCTTACCTCCGGGGCTGATAACTTTTTATAACTTGACTTATCCTTTGGACCGGAGCTGGCATGTCTTGGGTCTTGGTTATGATCCTGCCCTAAACAAAACAGCAATAGAAAATGGGGCGGTTGTTCACTACAATGGAAATTACAAACCATGGTTGGATCTTGCAATTGCCAAGTACAAATCTTATTGGTCTAGATATGTAATGTTCAATAATTCATACCTTCAACTTTGCAACATCAGTGAGTAGTAAATTCATGTTTTTTCAAGGTAGTTTTGCTTGTAATCAATTTCTTTCTCACAATTGTTATAGGAAAAAAGGGAAAATGTTTTACTTTTGTCACTCTTGAAATTTTCCTGTAGCAAGAAAATTTGGGAGAGCATGGGCAAGCGACAGAGTATCCTAATGATGTTGTATAGCTGAAGATGTGCGTATTTGTATTTTCTGCAGCTAACTTGAGAAGGATCACGGCATATGATTGTTGACTGTTTCAGACTGTTTTTAGTTAATGTTAACAATCAGAACTAACTTGTAGATCCTTTTTGTTTACCGTCTTTTAGCCCTTCACTTGTAGACATTCCGAGTCCAATGCTAAAAGCAGACTTTCAAAGTTGTATGAAAAATGATCCGCCTTTCTGATAAAGTGTATCATCCCTCAGACAGGGGCGGGGCTAAAGTATTAGGTATGAGTATAGGCGAATCCAGTATTTGAATTAGAAAGTTCATTAAATTTGTGTAAATATGTAATTGTGAAACAAGTACCTAAAACGAGCTATGAGTTCAATAGCAAGTTGAGAATCAACTTTAAATTTTGGCTCTACCTCACGGAAGGTATAATCGGATCATGAAAGGACGCTTGGCATTGCACTATTTCATACTAAAAAGGGAGTTCTTTTAATTAGGTCATTGAAATGCCTACCTCCTGAATAACAGTAAGAGCTAATCACAGTAAGAGTCAGTTTAATCTCTAAAATTGAGCTGTGGACTTGCTTTCGTATAACTATACCATAGTGAGTTATGGTCATTGGATTTAGAGCTGGAAACCCTGAAATCAAAAAACCCTGTCGTCTAAATGCGTGTTCCTTTCTCGTCGCCTGCTTGGAACTGTAACTGGTGTTCTAGGTTCAAAGAATTACTGTACCATGGCAAATCCCAAGACGTTCTTTTCCACTACCGTGAATTGAAGAAGAGCGGACTTGAGGTGACAGACCATTCGGTTTTCGCCGTCCTTCTCAAAGCATGTTTAAACTTCTCACCCACACATGGCAACTCTATCCATGGCTCTCTGATTAAGCAGGGATTCCTAGCTTTCACTTCCCTCGGTAATTCTATGGTGGACTTCTATGCTAAATCTGGAGATTTGGGTTCTGCACTTCTTGTTTTTAACTGCATGCCCAACAAAGATTCAGTTTCGTGGAATGTAATCATTCACGGACACTTAGAGCGAGCTGCTGCTTCTTACGGGCGAGGATTGTGGTTCTTTACTCAGGCTTGGGCTGCAGGTTTTGAACCCAACATCTCCACCTTAGTGCTTGTCATTCAGACTTGTCGGAATCTTAAAGCTTTTGAGGTTGGACAGATGATTCATGGTTCTATCATTCGTGCTGGATATTCACGTATAACTTCTGTCCAAAACTCGCTCCTCAACTTTTATGCTGAATTAGGAATGCAGCTTGCGCATAACCTTTTCGATGAAATGACTGACAGAGACGTTATATCTTGGAGTGTCATGGTTGCTGGCTATGCCCAAAGCGAGGAAGCAACTGTTGCTCTCGGGTTCTTTAAACGGATGATTCATTTTGGGATAACCCCAGACGGACAATCAGTGGTAAGTGTACTCAAAGCTTGCAGCAAATTGATGACCATTAGAATGGGAGAGTCAGTTCACGGGTTTGTTATCTCTAGAGGTCTGGATTATGATTTGTTTGTACAGAACTCCCTGATCGACTTGTATTCTAAATGGAACGATGTTAATTCTTCATTGAGAGTTTTCCACGAAACTCCCGAAAAGAATGTCGTATCCTGGAACTCTTTGTTGTCAGGACTTGTGCAAAATGAGAAGCATTCTGAGGCTCTAATTTTATTTGATTCGATGAGGAAGGCTGGAGTTGATTCTGATGAGGTGACTCTGGTCAATCTACTGCAGTTATGTAAGTCCTTCCTTGACCCTTACCAGTGCAAGTTGATACATTCCAGAGTACTCCGACGAGGTTTTGAGTTGAATGAGTTGGTTACAAACTCTTTGATCGATGCATATGCAAGTTGCAATCTCATAAATTATGCATGGAGTCAATTTAGTATTATGAAAACGCTTGATGCAGTAACTTGGAGCACCATGATTGCTGGATTCACACACTGTGGCATGCCTGACGAAGCCATTGCTGTTTTCCGAGAGATGAACCACACTACTGAACGGCCCAATGCCATTACCATGCTACATCTTCTTGAAGCTTGCTCTCTTTCTGCAGACCTGAAAAGATCAAGGTGGGCTCATGGCATTGTTATTCGAAGAGGGTTGGCATCTGATGTACATGTGGGAACTGCGATCTTAGATATGTATTCGAAATGTGGTTCTGTTGAATTGTCAAGAAAAGTGTTTGAACGGATTCCACACAAGAATGTCGTTACCTGGAGTGCCATAATCACAGCATATGGTATGAATGGCCTCCCAAATGAAGCTCTAGCCCTACTTGCTGAGATGAAAATGAGTGGTCTGAAGCCGAATCAAGTAACAGCACTGTCTCTTTTGTCCGCTTGTAGTCATGGGGGACTGGTAGAAGAAGGGCTATCTCTTTTTGAGGAGTTGATTTGGGATGATGAGGTTGAACCTAGCTTAGAACATTACTCTTGCCTTGTAGATTTGTTAGCTCGGGCTGGAAAGGTTGATAGTGCAATGAATTTGATAGGAAGGCTACGTGGTGGAGTAAAGCCTAGTGCAAGTGCATGGGGGGCGCTCTTGAGTGCCTGTAGGAACTATGAGAACTATGAGTTCGGTGCCAGTGCCCTCCCTCAAGTACTTGAACTCGAGCCGTCAAGCTCAGCTGGCTATCTTCTTGCATCAAACATGTATGCATCAGGTCATTCATGGGTTGATGCCAGCAAAATGAGAATGATGTCTAAGGAGAGAGGTGTCAAGGTTACAGCTGGCTATAGCTTAGTGTATGTCAATGGTAAGGCATGCAAGTTTCTTGCAGGAGATAACCACAATTCTTTGTCTGATGAATTGCAGTTCGCCATTCAGCAACTGCACTCATGTATGAAAATGGACATCACTTGCAGGTAGGGGCTCTTTTGTGTTCTATGAAAGCCGGCACTTTTCCACAACTAAAGAGCTGTCTTTCTTTTGCTGCATAGAAACCGCAAAATTAGGGGGCCAAAACTCTGGATTGTTGGATGTTGGGGGTGGAAGCTTGTTGGCGGTTTTCTGCTTCTGATGCCTACCTGTAAATTTTGTGGGGTTAGGGGACAGGGGTGAGGGAACCTTTTGCCAGTCAAATGGTCGTACCTTACATTGGATTGGGAATTATAATTCAGGATAGGGTAAAATGTGTCTCAGCAGTGGGTTATATCGCTGCTGTCCACTGAAAGGTGGTGACTAGGGGTGGCAAATGGGCGGATCGGGTCGCATATGAGCGGGTCGAATAAGGGTAATTAAAAAACGGATAAATTATCCGGTCCGACCCATATTTAATATGGATAAAAAAGAGTTACCCGGCGGATAATATGGACATGACTTCTTGAATATGATCACTTTTAGGAGAATTTCTAGTCTCCCAAACTTGAGGAACCTCCAATTTGAGGCTTTACAAATGTAAAAATTAAACTCATTAGTTATCCATTTTCTAAGTGGATAATATGGTTCTTATCCATATTTGACCCGTTTTTAAAAAAATTCATTATCCAACTCATTTTTTAATGAATAATATGGGTGAATAACTGTCTTTTAAACCATTTTGCCACCTCTAGTGGTGACAAAAGGGCGACAAAGAGAGGGGGAGGGGAAAGATATGTCCTGGACGGATGAGGTAATTAATTAAAGGGTTAGCACATAAGACGCTAGGAAAGAGGGAGATGAACATAGTCACAATACTTCCTTTTATAGTATCTTCATTTCTTTTTGTGTGCATGTGCATCCAACATTGATATTTTTATCAAGAGATGTTTACCTCATATCACTGAAGATTTCTTAGGTGTAAGTTGATGCAGTTAATTTGTTGTCCTAAGAACAACTTGTTATCATTGATATTTAAGTAGGCACCCAGTCTTTTTTGTCACAGGAAAGATACTACTATCGAAATTCATTCCACGAATCTTTTTTACAAAAACAGAAAGATCCATAAAGTAGATACCAAGCCATTAGTACAGTTTTGTTAGGCTCCTGGTAGTGAATGCAATAACAACTACATAAGGTTGGAACTTAGCTAAAACACACTATTAGACATCTAATGCGGAGAGGGTATCTGATGGTTTACTGCCCAAATCGTTTAAATGTCAAATGACCACTGAAGACTATCTCCTCTCCCACAAAGGGAAAACCATGCCCGAAGTGCACAAACAGCTTGACCAAGAATCCATCTCACTCGATGCATAATTGTATGTTCTATACGTATTACATTCCCATTGATTTTTAAAAAAACATTAATACAATGGGTATGCATTGTGTAATCAACAAGAATGTCAAATAGCTGCATCTGACTGGACATGCAACGGCACATTAACCACTCGTGTAAACAGTACGTTGTAGCTTTAAACTGCCATCTCCCATTTTGTGTGCGTGTGCATCCAACATTAACACTAGGAATAAAAAGTGAGGCCGTTTTTTACTTACATGTGTCTGCCAAGAATCCTCCACAGTGATAAGCTGCAAGCTTCGTAGCAAGCAAACCTGACCCGAAATCTGGAAAAACTTGTAAAGCAAAGCAAATATAGCTTTAGGCAGGGCCACTGCTACCAAATGAACTTCCAAGATTGGGATGGTAAGCATGGTGGAGGGAGACTTTAATGGTTTTCCTTTTACATAATCTGTGTATATCTACACATTCCTCAAGATCAGCATCACATGTCAGAAGCACCCACTCGTCGTCATCATCCAAATATTTTAGATCAATTTTACCATCTTCTATATTGAAACGCCTTAAGACCTCTTGCAGAACATCTATAAAACCCCAATGTGATTGCAGGCTGAAACGAATCTTTTCTTTCCCAAAAGTGGCTTTTACTTTAAATGTAGCCGAATCCCGTATAACCTGGTTGCTACTCGTCGGCAAAGGACACAAAGGTTCCAGAGAATTGTGATTGCTTTGAATTTTTTGACTCTGTGATCGAACCAAAAGTTTGGTTTCTTCTTGACCCACGTCATGCAATTCTGCTTCTGTATGTGCTCTCTTTAGCATTCCTCCAGGGTGTTCTTCCATTGTGGCATTCCCCGTGGAAAAAACATTTGTAAGAGGAAATAAATGCTTTGAACCAGTTGAACAGAATAAACTTGAACTGGAGTTATGACTGCCAGATGAAGAAGTTGACTTGGAAGTAGTGGTATCAGGGCTTAATGTACTGCCATCAGGTTGAGTATTTACTTGCTGCAGATGATCATGGTTCTTAGAAGCAGATAAATTACTGGTCCCTGGATTATTTGGAGAGGTAAGTTCTGGGAAGTTAGTGTAGAAAGAACTGAGTTTAATAGCACCCTCGGCACCATGGACTGAATCAATCACAAGTTGAAGTTTCTGCAACGAGTGGCCCACTTTCTTGATCTTGCGAGAAGGCCACCTTGTGATTCCGTGTTGCCTGCATATTCTTTTCAAAGTTGTAGGGCAAACTGCAAGTTGGAACAAATTGATAAGTAATTAATGACAAGCTAATATGGCAGAGATGATAGTGCTCAAGACCCAAATTCGAGACCTTAAGGTAAATTATAGGCCTTTAAAACAAAGAAAGGACTTTGCATTAACTAAATCATGGATGCACAAACTTGTAGGAAAGACAAACACAGAAATAATCTAAAATTTTGAGATGATAAATATCAAAAGAATTATAACTTTGGAAAGGATGAAAACCCAAAAGGATCACATGAGCATGTCCTACAGATTCCAAACTAGAAAGTAGAGGTTAATCAAGATGATGCATAAGTAGTCTGGAGAAATAGTTGAAACTTTGAACTATTGAGTCGTTTTAGCTAAGGGCAGTTCTCAAAGAACTCAAGATGTCCATGGATTTTCAGTGCATCATTTTAACAGTTTCCCAGGGGGACAATCATGCCATGAAAGGCAGACAATTTCGCGACAGGCAGAGAAATGCACAGTTTCTTTATTTAAAAGGCCGAAAATTGCAAATTTCTAAAGTTCCAAATCCGCAGTAGTGATCAAAGACAAAATAGGTACATGATTGTGAAATGACGATGCAACTTATCCTACCTCCAATATTTTTTGCAGCATCTTTTAGGCTCCCGGCAAAGTACTGCCTGAGTACCTGCAAACTGATGCTCTTCTCGGTCTTTGACCGTTTTCTTTCACCTGCTCTCTTGGCACCTGAGGAATGTGATCCTGTACCAGAAGAAAAATCTAAGGAACCCCCATAACCTCCTTTGGGTCCAAAATTATCCTGGATCTGGTTTGGCTCTGAGTATGTAGATGCATGAATGGATTCCCTCCAACGGTTTGCTGTCACCTTAAAATTTTCTTCTTGCGAAATAGCGGCTCCTTTACCCTTTCTTTGGACATCCGTCATTTGAGAAAGCCAGGAAGAAGCATCTTCATCCCTGTAAGGTGGAGAGACTGGTTTTCTTGATACTTCTTCATGTGATTCACCAGCAGAAAGGCTGACCTTTTCACGTTGTAGGAGTTCTTTTTCCTCCAGTAATTCCTGATCCGTAACAACACGTAAGCTTCGGCAACTTTGCTGTATCACAGAAGACAGTGAACTTAACATTTGTTTTTGGTCTTCAGTATTTTTGCAATCAAGTGGCAAGAAGAACTCCAAAACAAAGTCAGCCGACCCTGTGTATATACTTCGAAGGCGTATTGCTACAGCAGAACATAATCCAAACATCCTGGCGTGGTGTGATAGTGGATATTCTGTCTTGCTAAAGGCCGTAATATCTGTAGCGAAACATGGCTGATTTGTATTGAATGCTCCACCTGCAACCCCTTCACCTTTAAGCAAGTGATGCTCAGAACATGCGTAATGAAAAGGCAACACTTGTGGATCACGCACATAGCAAGCTTCGTCGACTGTGGTAACACAAGAAGCAGAGTTCTCATCGGATCGCAGGCACCCACCTTTACCTTGTTGTATGCACGGGGCCCAAGTCTGAGCCAATGGCAACTTGTGTGTATCACACACACATGTCAAGATATATTGAATCTCGGCCAAGGCAGCAAGGTACGACTCATTGCAGTCCTGATATAGAATCACAACTACGATATAAGAGGTGAAAATGGAGCTCCGCCTCCTAATGAGAAGTGAAAGATTAATTTCAGGATCTACCTTTATTTTTGCAGGATTTGAGATACCAGAACTTCTTAGATTAACAGCCTACAAGAAGGAAAACGGCTTCTTTAATTTCCCAGAGAAATGGTTCATTGTCAAAGCAGAGAATCAGAGTAGCCCAAAATGAGTAGCAAAAGCTACTTGTTAGAGGCCATTTTGTTGGTAACCTAACAAACAGGCATAATAGCTACCAAAGACAAGCAAAATCACCAATAAACAGGAAGAAAAAGAAACAAAGAACTTCATGCTTCAACAATACTTCATCACTTGTATTCAGAACTCGAAAGAAAATTAATCTCTCGCCTCACCTACCAAATAATGGACTAATATTGCCGATCTTACGATTCTAGGAATGGACATTAATTCTAAGACACAATAAAGATAGAGAAAAAAGCAATTAAGAAATACCTCAAGAGCTTTGCAGACATCTTCAAGCTCGGGGTGATAGTGAGTTTTCTGAGTAGTAGTCACAATCTCAACAACACCCAAGCAAGTTCCACTGCCGGTTTCAAAAACAGGAACTGCAATGGAACCCCTAACATTATACTGATGAGCATGATTAACTCGTGGATACTCCTCCCGCTTGAAAAAACGAACATCAGGAGTCCACTCTGGCAGCTTCTTCAAGAAAACACGGCCAGGCAACCCAACCAACTCATTTGAATCCTTCTCAGCAGCAAATTGGTAATTTTGGGAGACATATCTGTACTCTACTAGACTCTGGAAATTTGGGTTGAGGAAGTAAGGTTGATTATTAGTAATAAGGACATGTTTGTCTCCTCTCTTGACTGGTACCCATATCTGAATTAGGACATCTTTATCCCTTGTGGAATCTTTTAGGTGTTCAATGGCTTGCACCAATCTCTTTTTCACTGATAAAGTTGGATTTGGGTTTATGTTTGGTCCAATCCACAACCGACGAGGGGAAGTCTCAGAGTTTTCTCTTCTAGTTGGAGAAAAATCATCCATTTGGGCAAACAAAATCTTATCTTTGTCAGTTTCTTCTTGATTTGCGGTAGGAAGGGAATGGCCTGCGTTAGTAGTATCTAACAAAAGGGGCTGAGAAGCCAAAGAGGAGGGAATAAGGAAATTCGAGGCGTGATTAGTTGTCTCTAGCCAGAAACCATCGGAGAGGAATTCACTAAAATCAGAAGTACTAATAGTGTTATCAGAAGAGAGCTTTGCAAACATGTCATGAAGTGTAAAGGGACCATCTTCCATAATGAAATAGCTAGCCTCAATTTGAATCTCCCATCCCAATATAAAAACAGAAGCCCTAAATCATCCAACAGAGAGAGAGGGCAAAAAATCACGATCACGATCACGAGCCAGAACACAAAAGCAGCCTATATATGAAAAACAAGAAGAGGAATTTCCATGAAGGATTTCTTTCCTCAGCCTTCCAAAACCCAATCAGCCCGGTTTCCACAAACCTCATCAGTTTTAGTTTTGGTTTGTAAACTGCAATTCACAAATGCATTTCAGGAGCCATACATTTCCATGCAAAATTACTCTACACTACATAGCCAAAATGCTAATCAAACAACACAAAGCTGCAACCTTTGATACA